AATAGTCTTCTTGCGCATTGTTCGGGGATGGATTGCGGTGAATGTGTTGCCACATGAGTTGGAATCATCATTTTGATTAGTGATGAATAAAATACATACTGGTTAAATAAGCATAATTGATGATTAATAAATGTTAAATAAATAACACGATTACTAAAGCGAAAGTTGTAATATCAAACATTAAGCTCTTCGATATCCGTTTCGAGCAACCTGATGTCAAGCACTAGTGACATCGGTTTTTATTTGGAAATAAAGATAGCAATATGTTTTCAAGTCAAAATAGCCCTGTCAAAATCTGGCATTGCTACATCAATAAATAGTCACCATATTACAGAAATTTAAATAATGAAATTTATCACACAGAAATAAGACAACTGTTTGGTTTGCCCTCTGTAAAACCGACTTAGTATTAAAGTCAAATCAGCACAACAGCTTATATGACTCTTAAGTTTTGATTGCTGTTCAAACAAAAAAAAACATTAATCTATATACGGTACTTGGACTTGCTGAAATATAATCTGGATAAAGCCTTCTAAAAATATTTATAAAAACCCTTAGACGCTAACTATGATATTTGGTAACTTGTCTTTCATCGATGTATCAAACGTGTTGACTTTAGCAGTAGTGACATCAGTTTTTACTTGAAAATATAGAAAAATTGTTTCCATGTAAAAATATCTCTTCCACGGTATTGGTGCATCAAATTAAAAATCATCAGTATTAGATAAAATCTGATATTATAAATATATCGAATAAAAATGGGAAAAACGCTGGGTTGCCTTCTAAAAAGCTATTTATTTTTAGTTAAGAAATTTCATCACAAAAGATTCTACGACTTCAAGTTCTGATTGTTTTTCGATTACAACAAAAAAAGAGAAAGAACTAGTGGTGCATGGCATCAGGCCTTAAGGTAAATTGCTGAAATTTCCCGTACCAATAATTAAAATTTTGAAAAAAGATTCAATTTTCTTTTAAGTTTTTAAACTTAGAATCGATTTTTGAGATGTTTAAAATTTTTGAAAATAATTGACTTTTGAAAAATTTGATTTTATTTATACTTTGAAATATTTTGGAAATTTTGAAAATTTTTTCAAAGCAATCGGGATACGTTAGCTTCGTAGAAACAAAATATCGAAGCGCGTAGGCGCCGCATCGCAGTATGACGGATAAACATTGGTACAGAACCCATAAAAAATGAACAAAATCTGTTATTAAAATATCTATAAAATATGTGATGATTTGATATGCATATGTCTAATGATAGTTTTTGTCCGCCAAATGGCATTTTTTTCACTTTTTTTATTGGATCTCCGAAACCGCTAGACCTGCCTTTCCAGTTTTTCATTTCGTCAATACAAATGAAATGTTTTTTGAATCATACAAATCGGACGCTCCGTTCTCTCTATATAAAAAATCTACTACCATTTTTGGCACTTTTTGCCCCGTATCTTCGAAACGGCTCGACCTGCCTTTACCAAACTAATCAACACGTCTCCTTATCAATACAAATCAAATGCTTTTTTAATTATTCACAATCGAATTACTCGTGTTGCCAAAATCGCCGACGAAAATTTGTATCCACACATACGCGCACACACACATACACACAAACATACGCACACACACTACACATACATCCATTTTTTCTAGGGTATGCCAAAATGTTCAGAAACCTTTGAAACGTAAAGATATATAAATATTTTCATTTTCGATTTTTTTGCGATTACTATAACTTACCACTACGGGAAGTTAAAAAGTAAAAAAAAAATATATATAGACTTTTGTTAATTTTGTTAAGTTTTGATAATTTTTGGAATATTGCTATAAATTACTGGATTTGCCTAAATTAATCTCTAGAGTAATTTTGTTTCCAATTATCTAAACACTTCAGATACCACTGAAAACTTTGAAGTTCAGCGAAAAAAAACAAAATGTGCCAAAACTGCGTATTTTTGAAAAAAAAAGAACAAAAACAAATATTTTCGCAAAAATTCTACATAGGATTCTTCATCCAGGATTCGTATAAATTAATAAAATCTGAGATAACTATTTTTGCAAGTATTTTTTAAACTGGGTCTCACAAATAAATCAATGAGAATATGGATCAGATAATTATTTCACTAGACGATGCTAACTTGTTTGTGAATATAACCTCAGGTGCCTGAACAATAATT